AATGGTACTGGCATGTCCACCCTGCAGATTCTCCCCACAGAAATGGAGCCACAGAAGCAGCTGTTCGCATAATAAAGCGAGCCCTGCACAACCTGGGGGGAAACAGTGTTCTCATCTGGGGGAATTCCAAACTTTCATCTACATGGCAGCTAACCTGGCCAACAAAAGACCTACAGATGCCAGAATACAAAGTAGAGAAGACTCTGTGGAGTATGTCAGCCCCAACTCACTGTTGTTGGGACGGACAGGACCTAGAGGAGACCCAGGAGACTTCACTTTTCAAGGGTACCCCTACAAAAGACTGAATATCATCCAAGAGGAGGTAAACAAGTTCTGGAAAAGCTGGTGCCAGTTGGTCGGTCCACATTTGTTTATGAGGAATAAGTGGCACACAAGAGAGTGGAATGTGGCTGTTGGAGATGTGGTCTGGCTAGCTGATCAAAACACCAATACAAATTAGCCAGAGTAATCAGTGTTAATGCTGACAGTAAAGGCCTACCAAGCAACCCTCCTGCAGAGTCCCTGTTACTATTCTTCATAGGGATGTTAGACGGCTAGTTGTCTTACTTGCTGCAGAGGAGCAGAGCAGTGCTGGGCTCAGCGTGTCATTTTAGAGTATGCACAAATAGTAAAAGCATCAACTCCATAGGTTTGAACCTTTTTGGGTTCAAAACCAGGAGGTGAAGTGGGAGGTGTTGAGTCAAAACCAAAGATGTACAACAGACTCGGTAGCGAGTATTTCTACTTAATTTGAGTTTAATGTTTTTTTGTTTTACCAAGTGAGATCTTCCTGATAGAAGGAAAAGAAAAAACATGCTCAGGTGACCTCTGTGGAAGCAACGAATTGTATCCGCATTGGAAAAATACCGCAGCAAACCCAAGCGTGAAAAAAGAACTCTTTCACCTCTGAAAAGTGCAGTTCCAGAGCAGGACGAAGCCATGTAGTAGCTCGTGGCATGAAAAGTGCTGCTGAAGAACTGAGCAAAGAGCAGAAAAAGGTGGAGACCGAGGTATGAAGCGATGCTTCAGCTCATTGTGTAACTGCAAAATGTCACTGGTAGGACTGATTCTAGCCGCTAGCAATATCGCACAGTAATTCCACTCGACTATAATTTGTAATTGTGAGTTTACTGGTAAATTTCTATTGTATTTTTCCTTAGGTTATCAACCTGTTAGCTGAATACTGAAGCACAGACTGTGTTAAAGAGAAAGTTCATCAAAAAAACCTCTAAAAGAAGGCAAAGTTTGTGCTTCTTGGGGATGTCGGATGAATATTCAGTATTCGGGAGTGGATACAAGCATCCTTGTTGCAGTTAGAACATAGGTCCTTTTCAAGTTAGGGCAGGGGTTGAAGAAATAACCCAGATAACTTTCCAATGTCTGAGAGCTCTAGAACTCTCTGTGATCATCAGCCAATTCTGTAAAGAAAGAGAGAGAGAAGCACTGGAAGAGGCTGAAGAGAGATTTTGAGTAATTAAATCCATAAAGTACTTTATATGGACAAACAGCAGAGTTTTGATTGTCATTTTATAAAAAGAAAAGAAGCAGAACTGTAAAAATCTTTATACCACAACTCACAGTTATAAATTAAAGAGAGCAAAGATGGTGAATTCAACACAAACGGCCAACAACAACCTACTGGCAGAGGTAACATTATTTCTATTATTTTAATTAGAAGAGTGAACGATGCAGTGCAGATCAGATGATTTACAGAAGTGAAATTTGCGGTGAAGTTCTGTTATGAAGATATTTACATAGACAGGAGACACGTTGCTCTGAGTGCTCCATGCTTCAGTGCTCTGGGAGAGTTTATAGTGCTGTGAGTTTAACACTTCATGACTGAGAGCTGCTACAGCAACTTCTTCACGCACAGCAGCCATGACTTTAATCCCCATCTTCATCTGGACACTGATCTTCTGGACTCGAGGTCAGACACTATTCTATATTTTAGCTTTAGAGTGACCTGTCCTGGACATACTAGGGACTTGTACATATAAATCTATGTAAAATGAGCATGTCTTTTTTTCCAGAGTCCACAGGTCAGGTGACTGTAACTCAGACTCCTGCAGTGAAATCTGCTCTTCCAGGAGACACAGTCACCATCAGCTGTAGGATCAGCACTGCAGTGTATTACCACAGCTCATATGGTCACTACTTACACTGGTATCAGCAGAAACCTGGAGAAACTCCTAAACTCCTGATTAAACTGGTGAATCAGCTTCAGTCTGGTTTTCCAGCTCGTTTCAGTGGCAGCGGATCTGCAACAGACTTCACTCTGACCATCAGTGGAGTCCAGCCTGAAGATGCAGGAGATTATTACTGTCAGAGTTATCACAGCAGTGGTGTGTTCACACAGTGATACAGAGCCTCCCTCAGTCTGGCTGTACAGAGGCTGCACTGCTGCAGTGGGACCTCCTGCAGGTGCTGGAGTTGGAGGCTGTGAATATATATGAGTATTTGCTAAACTAGAATATGTATTTTTATATATATATATATATATATATATTTATTCTTTTAATTAGTTGCTACTGAATGCAGAGCTGAACATAATTCTTGAACACTTTAGTCTGAAATCTTTCATTAGAAGTTAAAAATTCATTCTTAGTTAGAATTAGAAGTTAAAGTTTACTGACTAAAGAAACCTTACAGAGTCAACACTGACATCTAAATACTGGAAGAAATGTTTAAAAAAACTATTAATCCTTAAAACACAAATCACTCCATCAGAATAAGACAAATAGTTCCTCTATTTCTCCAACAGACTCACAGAAAACGACTACAAACACACTCAGACAATGTTTTTAGAGGAATTAACTCACTGCTATTGTCGCTTCCCTTCACAATGATAGACAGAGTGTAGAAAAGGGCCAAACTCATCAAATAAAGGCCATTTATCTACTGAACATTATGAGATCGCCCCCTGGTGGTTATGCAGAAGAACCTCACACTGATTTGATGAAAGATTAGTTTAGTTCAGTGATTGTAAAGAGAGCTTATCAGCCAAGATTTGACTGAAATACTAAATCTTAACTTCAGGCCAGTGTAAGACTCTGGATAGGTGTAAATAATTTAGGAATAGGAATTTAGGAAGGAATAGTAACTAGTTATGAATCCAATTGGTTTTATGAGGTTATAAAGACTTTAAAGAAATAATATGTAATATATTTTCTGTAGTAAATCATAAAATGACCATTATATGTCATCAGAAATTAAGAAAACATGCTAAATTGAATTCTTGGCTTCTCCGACAACAGAGCTACAGCCAATTTCCATTCTGGAGCGGAAAGTCTGTTTGTGTTTTGGTCTGTGATCCCAGTCATTACCTATTTCTTACACCTCAGGTTGCCAGATATGAAGCAAATTGGCAGGCAAACACAGAGAGCTGTAGTCATGGAAGCAAGCTAACAAATAAACTCTATCCTGACCTAAAAAGACTCTGCATCCTCCTAAAAAGCTCCATGACCAGAGACGTAGTAAAACGTGAGTAAATATTGGTGATGTATTTGAAAGATGGAGACAGCTTAGAGCCCAGAAGGACTTTAAGACGGTTGCCTAGTTGGCTGATTTTCTCCTGAGCAGGTGAGCATTGAGCTCCAGCTGAGGTCAGTTAACCTTAACTAATTCATCACGGCTGCTTGTAGGAATGAGCATTTTAAGTCATTTTAACATTTGAGTCCTCGGATTCATGCTCTGTGGTCCATGTGCAGCTGGGTTATCAAGGCAGATGAGGCTGAAGTTGGCCTGCTTAGTTGTGTTAGCATGTAAAGGCTAGGCTAGTGAAGCTAGCATGTACCGCCAATGTGCCTTAAATCTTATTCTCTCATAGTTTACGCTGTTTTAGTGTGAGTCGAATTTTCACTCTGACTCTCAGAGAAATAACACTGAATATTGCATTGAGTAAAACATGCATTAATCTGGTAGACTTAATAAAATGAGATGAAGTGTGTTTATCTGTTTATGGCTTTCTTTACTGTTTTTTGCAATGTTGGAGAAACTTAACACTGACAATAATCGCAGTCAGCATTTGTTTCAGTGAGATCAGTTGAGCATTTTGTGAAAGTGTGAAAATTTCAGATGCTGTTTATTTTGCACATACATGTCAGATTATAAAGAGGTGTATTTTTTCATGTAGTTTATGTTTATAAGGTGATTGACAGACTAAGCAGGAAGTTCATCAGCTCCAGCTGGGTTAGCATCACTAACTGAATCACAGTCCACTGCAGTCACCAAGTAGCTGTGCTTTGTTGATAAAGCTTGTTCTGTAAAGCTTGTCCATCTTGAGGGTGAATCATGGTTTGGTGAGTTGGTTAAACAGGTCTTTGGGACTTATATAATATTGATTGTCCATATTGTATGTTTTTGAAGATCGTTTAGCCCATGTTACTGTTCATCCACATCTGACGCATCTGGCAGTCCTCCCAAGAGACAGTCACAGCTCAGCTCTGCTGTTTACACACTATCCATTTCAGCACAACTTACCAAAGTCAAGGAAAGGCTATGAATGAGCTCAAACTGTACTTTATATGGCCAAATGTATGTGGACACCCGTATGCATCACACCTATATGGGCTTGTTGGACATTCCATTCTAAAAATGTGCATTAATATGGAGTTGGCCCCCTTGCAACTATAATAGCCTCCGCTTTTCTGTGACGGCTTTCCATAAGATTTTGTTGCCCTTTGTCATATATATATATATATATATATATATATATATATATATATATAAAATAATCCCATTACATTTTGAGGAAAGCATTTAGAATTTTGTTATGGATTACATTTTTGAGTGACTGTATAGACATCAGTCATACTTGGTAAACTATCACAATGCACAATGTTAGAGATAAAATTTAATGACATAATGATACTTTGTTGAATTTCAGCTGAATGGATAATTTACAGAATCGAAATTTGTGTTGAAGTTCTGTTATGAAGATATTTACATAGACAGGAGACACGTTGCACTGAGTGCTCCATGCTTCAGTGCTCTGGGAGAGTTTATAGTGCTGTGAGTTTAACACTTCATGACTGAGAGCTGCTACAGCAACTTCTTCACCCACAGCAGCCATGACTTTAATCCCCATCCTCATCTGGACACTGATCTTCTGGACTCAAGGTCAGACACTGTTTCAGATTTTAGTCTCAGAGCAATCTGTCTGAACTAAAACCTGAGAGAAAAGATAACGCATACTTCTTATATTATTCATACTTTTTTACTATTTTTCCAGAGTCCACAGGTCAGGTGACTGTAACTCAGACTCCTGCAGTGAAATCTGCTCTTCCAGGAGACACAGTCACCATCAGCTGTAGGATCAGCCAGGCAGTGTACCATGACTCAAAAGGCCATCACTTATACTGGTATTGGCTGAAACCTGGAGAAACTCATAAATCCCTCATTGAATTTGTGAATCAGGTTAAGTCTGGTTTTCCCGCTCGTTTCCATGGCAGCGGCTCTGCAACAGCCTTCACTCTGACCATCAGTGGAGTCCAGCCTGAAGATACAGGAGATTATTACTGTCAGAGTTACCATGGAGGCACCGTGATCACACAGTGATACAGAGCCGTACAAAAACCTCCCTCAGTCTGATGTACAGAGGCTGCACTGCTGCAGTGGGACCTACTGCAGGTGCTGAAACAGCACAATCACTCACTCTGTGGAGGAGAACAAACTCAGCACACTGACTCACTACTGACTGTAGAAATGTGTAAATGACTTTGATGACAATGGATTTATTAACATGGGATATCAAATGGTCTTTTGAGAGAGGTGCTAATAGACACATTTTACAATAGCAGTTTAGCTCCCAAATATCATCTTTTATATGCTGAGCAAAAGTCAGAGACTACCCCTTATGTATTTCATTTTTAGTGAAAATGATCATTAAATCTACGAAATGACACTTAAGAGAAAATTACACAGAAGCCTCAACCACAAAATATATATTTAGTATTTAGTGTGTCCACTTTGCCTTTATTACAGCTTCCATTCTTTTCAGGAGACTCACTTTTAGTGCAAAATCTGCAGGGAGATTTTTCCACATCTGCAAAGTTCAGTCTTAAATTAGTTGCATTTTCTCAAACACATTCAATGATGTTGAGGTCTGGTCTCTGGGGTGGTCAGTCCATTGTTCAGCTTTTTTGTTTGATGTGTCTCCTTTTCTCAGTAAGAGCTTCTTAACAGCTACACATCCTTTCAGACTCATGGCACTGAGTCGTCTCCTCACAGTGGAAGGATGGACAGAAATACCTGTGGGTGTTTTCAGATCTGAAGCAGCTTGATTTTCTCCTCTCTCTCAAAGATGAAAGCTTCAACGTGCTGCTTATCTGATGGTGGCAGTTCTGGTGGTCTACCAGGTCTTACAAGGTTGCAAGGAGTCCTAGTTTCTCTGTATATGGTATATATGTGGTCTACCAGGTTGTGCATGGCTGTTTGGAATTCCATTTTCTCTGCAGCATTCAATCGATTTTGCACTCTAGTTTTAAAAACTCCTATTTTTATGCTTACTTTCACTTTTCCTTCTTTGTGCAAATGGATTATTTTAGATCTAATCTCCTCAGAAATACCTCCAGAGAAAAGAATACCTTATTGCCCAGGTTGACTGGAAATGAAATAGATGAATGGTGTCTCTGATTCAAACAAATCAGTGATCACCAAACAGTTCAAAGAGCTTTCTGTTTTTATTTGCATTTCAAATACCATCCAAACTTTTTTGGAATTGGGTTTGTACATTTACAGCATGTTATTCATTTCAAGTTGTGTTTATCATGCATGTTCAAGCTCCAGCTGTTTAACATGGCTAAATAGTGTCTACTCGTCTCTCTCTCACAGAGTAGCTTGACTTTATTAAATGAGATTGTTATTGATGTTCTGTAAAGTTTGTCCAACCTCGCAATATTAACTAGGAAAAATAAGATCACTGGACAAAAAAATGAGTCACCTATGACTGAAACGTACCTAAGCATGCAATACCCCCACAAGCACAAACAGCTGCGATTCGATTTGTCATGGACTCGACAAGTTTCTGGATGTAGGCGACATCAATGATCAGCCACTCTTGCGTCAAAGAATTGCGCAGTTCGGCCAGATGTTGTGGATGCCTTCCCTGGCGTCCTACATCGTGGTTCCAGGTAGTCCCACAGATTTTAAAGGGATTCAAATCTGGGGATTTTGTGGGCCAGTCCAGATGTGTAAATCCGCCTGAATGTTTATCATGCCAATCAGTCATATTTGAGGCTCTGTGAATGCGAGAATTGTCATCTTGGAATGCAGGGATAGGAATGTCATGTTCCTTGGTAAGATGAAAAGTGAACGGCAAAACTTGGTTGTCCAGCAGCTCAATGTAGATACTGTGGTTCAAATTTACTGTCATCTCAACCAAAGGGCCCATTTCCACATAATTAAAACACCACAGAACATCACAGAGCTCCTCCAGCTTGAACCACACCTTCCACACTGTCCTCATTGATGGCTTTCTGAGGTCTACGATGAGCACGACGCCTAGCATCATTCACGAGATTTGTCTGACCAGATAACACATTTCCAATCATGAACAGTCCAGTTTTTGTGTCTCTTCGTCCACTGTAATCAGGCAACTTTGTGAGAAGAAGTGAGCGAAGGCCTCTTGTGTGCCGCTCTGCTCAATATGTCCATGGTATGCAGTTCCCTGCAGAGTGTCTTTCAGAAACTGGTTGTGAAGAACCTGCGTTGACTTCAAGAAGCAATTCTTGCCTGGAAGTAAAACGATTTTTATTCACAAGCTGTGAAACACACCAGAGGTCCCTGTCCGTCAGTTTCATATTTGGGCCACAATTCTGATGAGAATTTCCTGTAGACTGGATTTTTGCCACTGCTGATCGACCCGTATGACCGTACGCTTCGATACACCTGCAAATTCAGCTGCTTCCTTCACACTGTGGTCTTTGGCCTCCCAAATACAATCACGCCTTTTTGCCAGTCATTAACTTCTGCTTTGTGCCCCATTATCTACACATCGAACGAGACATTCACTGCACTGTACCACCTTTTCTCAATCCATGAATCCCGTTGCACACCCCGCAGGTATTTATAGCCCTATTATCCTCCTGCAGCACCATCTGCAAGAGCTTGCAAGTTACTACCATCTTAAACACATAAGGTGGCTAATTTTTTGTTCAGGAAACCTACATTTTTGAGCAGAGCATAGATGAGTCAGTTGGTTAAATAACTGTCCAGTCTGAACATAATATTTATTGTACATATTGAGAGAAAGATTATTATTCTTATGACTGTTTATTACATCACAGTAGCTGAGTGTTCTAGACTAATGCACTCGATTATTACAAATAGATGATTTAGATAGATAGATTAGATTTAGATAGATGATGTAGATGATTAATAAATTTGTAACAGATTATCAGTAACACATCAACAACATACCAGTGAAGTAGCAGTGGTGCAGGATCAGAATACATTGAAGTAAATATCTAGAAGATGTTCTGTTTATATATTACTCACAGTGGTGCTTAAGTAGATGTATTGTTGATGTGTTACATGAAGTAGACTTAATATGTTTCCTTTCATTACACAAAATGCACGTCAACACCAATAGATATAGACTTGGACCCTGCAAATAAAGTGAAAAACAACTGAATTCATCAGATTTTAAACAAATTGTATTGACACAGTTAATTAAGAGTCTCTAATCTACTCAATGTATTAACTGCTGCTGCATCATTGATATGCTGTTGATGTTACTGAGAGTCTGCTCAGTGTTTATTTCATATAAAAAGGACCACTCAGAATAAAGTGTCACCAAACTATAATACGTAATACTGTACTGAGCTGTGATAAACACAATCATTCACTCTTGGGTTCCAGGTTTCCACTATAGCAAAACTGGACAGGCTGGTGAGGGAAGTCATTAACCCCTTTAAACCCCAGGCTTATTACATACTAAGGCTTATTACTCTGTAACTACAGGGACTTCAATGCAAACTGGCTGAGTTATTCTCAGGTTATAGAAGTGTGAAATATAACTTTGGGCCTGCTGGGGGGCCCTGGCCTTTTTAAAGTGTTAATGTCTTTTATCATGTTATCCATTCTGCGTTTTCTGATATGTTTATTCTTTAACAGTTTGCCTTTGGATTATTTCAACATTTCTTCATATTTTCTATAATACATTAATTCTTTAAGTTCTGTACAAATAAATCTTCTGTCCTAATTTTTGTCCTGCCATCGTCAGATGAAACTCTGCAGAAGCCACCTATGATTCACAGTTTGTTCACTGTGTCTTCTGTAAGCTAAGCAGTGAATAAAACAGATGACAATGCACAAGTCAGTAATATAAAATCTATGTTTTACTATTTAATTGTTGAAAAAGGGTCTTTTACTTTGAAAGGACAAATACTTTATGACAAATACTTTACTTCTCAACCAATCAGCTTGCATGGCCGAAACTAACTGTTGTATAATTTATGACATCACATGACCAGTTAGCCTTATTATGATGTTATTATTACCATACATTCCAAATACCAAATGAAATTGTATCAATTTCCAATATTTGTAAATTTTGGGTCACACATTTTGCTAAGTATAAGTTGGATAAATTTAGTCTAGTCTTCAAAAAGGAGGATGGTAAGGATTCATAAGGATGCTTTCAGAGAAAAATTAGAATTTATGGTATTTTGTTTATTTGTTTTTTTTAGATTTTATGGTACACTGTGATTGCACATTGTTGCCATATGGCAACAATTTACCAAATACCTCACTTAAAAAATGTTACAAATATTTCCATTATTTATGCAATTTTAAATAACCAAAAACACATTAAAACATTTTAATCATGTTTAAGTAATAATTCGTGCAATAAAGAGTTGATGCACAGTGAAGAAGAAAAAAAAATCCCAAATGGATGATTTGCAGAAGTGAAATTTGTGGTGAAGTTCTGTTATGAAGATATTTGCATAGACAGAAGACACGTTGCACTGAGTGCTCCATGCTTCAGTGCTCTGGGAGAGTTTATAGTGCTGTGAGTTCAACACTGCATGACTGAGAGCTGCTACAGCAACTTCTTCACCCACAGCAGCCATGACTTTAATCCCCATCTTCATCTGGACACTGATCTTCTGGACTCGAGGTCAGACACTGTTTAAAGCTTAAAAAATACATAAATTACATCATATTAATGAGTCTTAAATGTGAACAATGGTACAATGTCATTTCTACTTGTATTTTTCCAGAGTCCACAGGTCAGGTGACTGTAACTCAGACTCCTGCAGTGAAATCTGCTCTTCCAGGAGACACAGTCACCATCAGCTGTAGGATCAGCACTGCAGTGTATTACCACAGCTCATATGGTCACTACTTACACTGGTATCAGCAGAAACCTGGAGAAATCACCTGGATCACTCACTCTGTGTCACCTGAATCACTCACTCTGTGGAGGAGAACAAACTCAGCACACTGACTCACTACTGACTGTAGAAATGTGTAAATGACTTTGTTCACAATGGATTTATTACAGAATATGATGAGCTTCTACAGTGTACAGTCACTATCAGCTGTAGAAGCAGCACTACAGTGTATGACACCAGCTAATACAGCCAGTACTTACACTAATATCAGCCCAAACTAATATCAGCACCTCTGTTCATCCACCCACAT